CTCTATTAACCAGTTTGTTTTCCTCATTTTGTTTGGTGATTACCCTAATAGTTTTACAGAGACAACTATCTTTGCAACCTAATTTGACTTTGGGTTTACTAGGGTTGCTAGATGCTGAATGATATTCTGAAGAACTTTCAGTGTTGCTTGAGTCATCTGAACTTTCTTCATTAGAGGAATTCGATTTTTCTTTTCAGCAATAACATGATAAGAGCATTCCTTTCACAAAAACCTATAGACCCCCTATCCTGCCACTTTAGCACCTTGTGATCTTTGAGAAGAGTATTACGAGCCCTCTCCTAGAATGTTTTTGTAGATTCTATGGTAGATCAAGACGAGAATGAATCCGGGAGATCTTGTTCTATGTACTTTTTGCCAAATAAGTTTAATAAGGTGTATCGGCTTCCAAAGAACCCATTTAATAGATGGGACACCGTGCTAATCCACCCAACCCAAAAGCTACCATTGCAGTCGGCCTTTTTTTTTGGAAATCTGGAGGTGGGTCTTCTTTTGTAGATTTATTTAGTGATAAGTTTATTAAAAAAAATTTGTTTAATATTAAATTTATTTTGATCTTCATTATCCAAAATATCCCTAATAGTTAAATTTAAGATTTAATTGCACTGAAAATCCCCAAAATATGAGATTTGTCTCATTTTGGTCAACAATATTTCAATTGTATCATTTTATTTCTTGAAATATTGAATATATTTTTATATGATCCCTCAAACAGATAACGTCTAGATTGTTAAAGATTTTTTATTATAAACTTGTCACGTGATACTTAAATATAGACAAAAAAATAACTTAGATAATTCTTAACCAAACATCACTAAAAATTAATTTGGATAATTTCTCAAAAATCACAAAAAAATCATTCTCAATTACAAAATTTTAAAAATAAAGAACCTTAACTATTTTTTTTATCTTTTTTTAATAGTTAGAAAAAAGAGTTTTTGAAGCATACACATTTTTCATAATCATATAATCGAATATGAGTAATAAAAAATTAAGTTGATAAATTTGAAATGATATTTAATTCAAATAGAAATATACCTAATATATTTTACTAATTTTTACGTATGAAAACTATTAATGTGCAACACCCATGATGCATTGTTAGTTATATGTATATATGTATGAGAGAAATAATTTTAATTATATATGTATATAGATAAATATGAAAAAAATAAAGAATTTTAATGTGAAAAAATTATAAAATTTAGGAGTTTTTAATTTTAAAATTTATTTTAATTAGAGTATCCTTCATTCTTACCATTTTTTAAACCCAAATTTAAATTAGAGTAAAAAAATTTTAAAAAACTTCTCTAATACTAGATTCATACACATATCAAATGAAGATAAACTTTTTTTTCTTTTTAATCCAAACCATAGGAGAATCAAATCTATACACAAAACTTTAATGGTAAAATTTTATTCTATTTTAAAAATTCAATGAGCATATTTTACTCTCTTTTAAATTTAAATTCTTCTGTATTTAAATTTAAGTTCTCCTTTTTTAATTTCTCCTAAATTAGGTTTTTAAATTTTTTTTTGACAATAGATAGCAAAAATGAATTCAAAAATGGACCGCTCGAAATTTCCCAGACTTGTTTCCTAATGCGAACCTCAACCGCCTTAAAGTTTTAACAACTATAAATAGTCTGAACTCCCTCTCTCTGTCGCACACGCTCCTTGTCTCTCTCGCTCTGTCCTCGCTTTCAGACGCTCCCTCTCAGTCTCTCCTTCACCCCTCTCTGATTCTCTCTCTATTGTTCTTCTTTATTTTTTGGAACTATATTAAGTTTAAAGAGATCTTTCTATCTGTTTTAGTCTTTACCATTTTTGTCACGTTTTACTCAAATCGTCGATGAGGAAAAAAGATTTAACACCGCAACTTGTTCAGATTATCTTTTGGTTTTAGTTTCTTGTTTGATTTTGATTGTCTTGTTTAATTTCTTTAACTCTTGGTCAGCTTCTGTAGAAACTTCAAGATGTAGCGTATCAAAGCCTAGAGATGTTAAAGTTAGTAGCCTTCTGTTCCATGAATTTCTTTGGGCTTTCAATTCTGTAAGTTCTCTCTCTCTCTCTCTCTCTCTCTCTTGTTTTTATGTTTATCTACTCTGTGTTTTTCTTGTTCTTATATTGTTATATGACATCGTTGTTCAATGCTCAATCAACTTTGTTTAGTCAGATTGTTCGTTGTAGTTGTGTGTACTTGAGTCAACTTGATTACCTTTTTTGTTCTGATAACTCGTTAGCAGTATTGAACTCAACCGATCTTTATTTTAAGTTATTCCATTATCACATCCATTCAACTATTTTTTTGTGTCACGTTGTTCTTTCCTTTCTTGAAGTTATAGTTGTTTGAAGACTAATGATGTTGTGGAAAATCTGAATGCTGTTCAATAGGAGAGTATTTTGCTCGCTCAAACTTGTGCATGCAATTGAAGTTAAAAGTTCTAATTGTGGCATGCATGAAGTAGTTTTTTTTTTTTACATAAGATGATGCATGAATTAGTTCAATTGCATTCTTTCTCTACTCTTGGATATTGGGATTTAACATGATGCAGAATCAATTTTTTGCGTCCCTCTCTTTCTGCGTCGCTGTCTTCTGTCTATGCAGACATAATTGGCAACTCAGAGATGCTAATAAATCTCTCTGGCTTTAATATTTTGATCCTGATGTTTAGGGAGCAGTAACTTTTTCTGCTTGCCAATGATAATTTTTTTGATTGGTATTTTTTGTTTTCTTCTTCATTTTTATAAGGTCCACGAGACCAACAAATTACTCAATAGCTGGATGTGTGTTTTCTTAAATGTACTAATATTCTATGCTTGTTACTTAGCTTCAGCTATATATATATTGTCTTTAAATGCTAACTGCTTTTTATTCTTGCACAGGACACTGAGGCCGTATCCTATATCAAAAAAGTGTACAATACATGATCAATACTGAACAACCTAATTGGGCAGTTGCTGTGAGTTACTAACCCATTTCTGTTTGGAAGTGAAGGCCCAGCTTATGTACATCTTGTTTTGACGTTGGTCTATAAGCAGCTCTAGTCTGGTACATAAATGTTCACTTTAGTCCGTGGTTATGCACTCAATTTTCAATCATCATGGGTATACTCGACATATGCTATTGGATGGACAACTTATTTTAATATTCCATTTTCGTGGATGTTTCATACTGCTGTGTCCATGCCTTCCCTGTTTCTATTGAAGTTTCGTCTATATTTTCTGATGGCTTTTCTTCTTGTAACATGACTTTTTTTTATGTGTTTTACCTTTTAGGGAATCATGGATATAGAGCCCATTAGTAATCTGTAACATGTTGAGGTAACCTTAGATCAGAAAGGACCGATAATTTTTCCATTGATATAAAGGTGGATAATTTTGGTATTGGACAGATGGATATGACCTCAATACGGGTGCATTATTTATCACCCCATAGAGATGAATACTATATGGTAGCGGTAGGAAATTTTTTGGCCTTGAATCACAGTATTCCGGAAGAACAGGTTATTCCAACTCGATATCGTCAAGAATTCTTGACTATTGCATAGGAACAGGTTCATCTTTGAAATATTTTTCCCTTCCAGTTTTTTTATTTATGTTTCTTTTCAAATTCACGTAGCTTTTGAAGGTGAAAATTTCAGAGCAAATTGAGAGAATGAGAGACACTTGCCGAGTAAGTTACTCATTAATATTTTCCTTTTGAAATCATGTTAGCGTGAAGTACATCTGTCTGCTTATAAGCTGCATGCATAGTTTTCATCATTGTCTAATCTAGGATCTCTTGGATATGCACTAAAACAAAAGTAGAGATGAGGCTTCTTCTTCATCAAAGACAGCAATAATGAAGGCTTGGAGAAAACTAGGATTGATCACACTTATTGCCGAATTGAACTTGATGGCTGTGTGAAAAACCTAACTACCTAAGGTCTTGGATGACCCATGTCAACCTCATCAGCAGTAGCGTATTTTTGTATTTGAGAATATGTATCTCAAACCTGTAGGAAAGAACATCCTTCAATGTCAGGTTCTCTGTGGTAACCTGGAATCCTAGGTATTGGTTGTTTCTGTTATTCTTTATTCCAAATGAGAAGATGGCAGGTTCTTAACCCTTTTTTCTTTCCTTGTCCTGTGTAGACAAGTGAAGTCTTATCGTGGTCATGGTATTGGAGAGCTCTTCCATTGCGCACCAAACATTCTTCATTATGCAAGTATCCTTAAAGAAGCAACTTTTCCATTTGAATGTTCGTTTGCATTAAAAATCTGCCTATGAACAAAATGAGGAATGTAAAGTATAGGGTGAATTGACTCATAGTTCTATGATATTACAATTTCAATCTCTTCTTATCCACTATGTATTTTTCCTTCGTCCTCTCTGTATGACCTTAACTTTAGCAGGAAATAAAGTTGTTGGTGTTATGAAGGCTGGGCAGATCTTTACCATTGAACGTATGATAAATGCTGGTAATTTTACAATACTTATAAATTGTAGTCAAAAGTTCTGCCTCGACGGTTTTATTGTACTTGTTTTATTTTTGGAAAATTTGATTTTTAATGGAGTTAGAATGCCATGATTGCTTTACCTTGCTACGTGCATAAGAATAACTTCCTTCTTGTAAGATGGATGACACCTTTAACCTTTTTATGTTGAGTTTATATTTCACGTTGTGCAAGTTTTTTATACAGGGTGATTAACATTTATTCATGGTAATATGCTGGCAATACCAATGACTAAGGCTAAAAGTCCTTTCCTGATTTGGCCTCTATTGAAACAAACAAAGCCTTTTTGTTTAATTGTTGATTGAATGAAGTCAAAATTTAACAAGGAAAAAGGTGAAATTTATGGTTGACAGTTATAAGGTTGAAAAGTAGTAGATGTATACATAGGTTTTCATGCCTCAGCTGATGTTATGTTATGTTTTTAGATGTATACAAGGTCTTTTTAGATGTTATGCTTTTCTTGTTATGATGGTTGAATGCAGATTTTTGTTAAGGATGTTGATTCTGGATCTGTAAAATCACAATTTAGAGCTGTAATACCAGTCAGATATCAGCATTATGTTTCAATCAAAGTGGCACTCTGGATCATACCCATCTTGGATACGTAATAGTGCAGGCACACAAACCTATGACTGTGCTCTTCTCATGTGCATCTTTATAATTTTTATCATGGAATGACAACTGCTGTTAGTAGACATCCGTTTCTCATTATTCATTATTTTCTTCTCTTCCTTTCCAAATGGTCTAAGTTTGTGTAATATTGTTGGGATTTTCGAGTTTTATTTGGCAGATCATCCAAGACATGTGCTTCTGTCATTACTATCAGTGGATTGCTATTATACCATCCAAAGGGAGTTGCCACTTTTTTGTTCGTCCCCCCTTTGGTGGCAATGCCAGCTTTCAAACTCTTGTTTGTCCATGGCAAATGTCCATCCCTGTATCCCATTGTATCTCTACCATGGCGGTCTACTTCATCTGTCATCCTAAACCAACAATCTTCTTCACCTCGGCACCCTGTTACCTTTTATGTGGTAAGCCGGATAAAGAATAATGCCTCGGGACTGCATATTTAGTTATCAATACTGCTACTTCCGCAGAAGGAAAGGTAACCTATCATCTTGTGCTGGTCTAGCTTATTTTTCACAGTTCCCTATCTCGTGGTTTGCAGGATGTTCACTCTGGGGTTAATTCCTTGGAGCATCTGTTAGTTTATACTCCATCAGGCTATGTGATTAAACTTGAGCTTCTGCCATCAATTGAGGCAGAGCTAAATAAGAGTGATCTAGCAACTCAGTCTGGCTCATATGTACATTCGCAAGATGAGGAGTAAGGGTGAAAGTTGAACCTATTCAATTGTGGGATGTGTGTAGAAGATCAGATTGTTTAGAGAGAGAGAAAGGCATGTTTTTCAGAGACTACTTTTGATGCTCAAGAAGCTGGAGAGAATAAAGTTTCTGGAGATAAATTTGATTCAGTAAAGCTCCCAGAGAGATCCCACTTGTATCTGTCAAATGCTGAGGTGTAAACAATGCAAATAAATTCTGGATGGTTACCAATATGGCCAAAATCCAAGGTAAAATCTGTTAGATTCAGGATTCCCTTGATTCTGGTATTCTAATTTGGTTGTGATTAATCTTCATCATTGCTCTAGATTCATTTAGGTAGAATTATCCCTCCATGAGTGGATAGATACAATGGTGGAGAATTTGAAATCTACAAGGTCCCATCTTATATAGTGGAAATAAGATGGAAGGATTTATTGTCAGTGTATGATCATTTCCACAACATCAAATCTGGTTGCATTGATAAGTGTTGATCACATTCACCTCTTTCAGGTTCTGGTAACTCCCCTTCTGTTATCAATTATGTTGATTCTTGAGTTGGATGTTTATGTCCATATATTGCTGAAAATTTCTAGTAAGTTTAATTTTCTGTTTTGAAATGTTGGTTTTCATATGGTGATAGACTTCTTAGAGGAGTACACTTGACCTGAGTAGTAGTAGCAACATGAAAAAGGTTATAGCCAAATCTACTTTCTGTTATGCCATCAGCCAGATGATTCATGCAGGTAGTTACATAAATTGTGCTGACTTATCATATACTTCTGCATCTAGCATGTTGAGTTCTGGATGGATTTATGTGTGGTAGTTGGACTAGGGGCCACAAATCTTCACTTCTAGCAAAGGAGTTTCTGATTTCCCCTCTTGTTATTACAACAGAATTGGAGTGACATTTGTAATCATCAGACCTTCATTGCATTATCTTTTTTCCCTTTCCTTTTGGTAGATGTCTTATTCAGTATTCACCATTTTGTACTTTTTTCTTTCTCATGAATTGAGAATCTTGTTTCTCATAACAAAAAAATACAACCCTTAAATAGAACTTACTCTCCTTCCCAATATAAGAATTGCAGTTAATTGAGAAGAGGGAATGCCAAATCAGTTGGATGGTGGTATATCATTGTAATAATACTTGTGAACTTGAGAAAAAAGAGAAAAACCATTTACACTTGTTATAACACTACTTTTAATTTTAACCCTTTTGTGAGTACCATAATCATCTCCGTCCACTATTGGTTCTTGCTGCGATATTTGCAGGTATTCTACATGCAAATAAACTAATTGAATTGTGTGTGCCCTTTGTAAATTCTGATAAACTGTTTCTTCCTAAGTTATAAACAACAGATTTTTGTCTAATATCTTGGAATGTGTTGTGGGGGGTTGTGCACATGCACACATGCCTACAAGTGCATGTGTCTTGGGGTGTTTAGTCCCACCTTGAATTTTGTTGTATGCTTGGTTGCGTTGAATTTACTTGCCTTGCCTCTTCTTTATTTCTTTATATAGAAAAGATATTTCTTGACTTGCTAACGTCTTTATTAAATAGTTTGGATGATTCAAGATTTACTTTTTCCCCTTCTTGTTGAGATGAGTTTCCCTGGGTTGATGTTGGAACATCTAACTAATTTTTTAACTACTTTTTTCCATTAATGCACCAGATAGCAAGCAAGACGGGTGACACATGCCTTTGGTGCAGAAAGAAAGAAGAGGTATACCATATGCACAAGTGTTTGTAGAGCAAATAGAATTGTCTAAGAAGTGTCTAATGAGACAGAGGTAATTAGAGGGTTTGCTTTTGTCTTATCATATCTCAAACAGGTTAAGGAGTAGATGAAATCTCATGATTCTTATTGGATCACAATATAGATTGTTGGTTTAATATAATTAAAGAGGGTAACCTTTTGGATGCAGTTTATTCATAAGATGTTTTTCATTCATGCATGATATAGGACTATCGTTGATTTGATGTTGCAGTGCATTCATCAATTTTCGACAGCTTGTTGCTGTGACCTTGCCTTAGTAAACTCTATCTCAATGCTTAATTTCATTTGAGGGTTTTTTTTTTTCCCCCTATAGAACCAGCAGTGTTTGAATCTGATTTTTTTTTTTATACAATTTTCCCAGTTGACTGTATTGGACTTCATTTACCTGGACACAATTCAAAAGTTTTATTGGTAAAGCAGGTAACTTAGCCTGGCTTGGGCAAATTAAAACTAGATCGAACTGTTATGTGCAGGTTCTCAGGTTCCAATGGGCTGTGTTAATGGCGAGATGTCGTTGGATAGTAACTCTGGGTCTTGATACGCAAATAAGCTCTAACTTATTTATTTTGTTGACAAGGTTAAAATAAACAAACAGCTGTGAGATACTTTATATTGTGAGTGGGAATTATTTGTTGAGTACCATACTGCATTTATAATTGTTCTTTATAGATGGTGTCAATTCCTGCAAAGTATCAGGGTAATGAAGGATTCAGAAGGTCACATCCTGTACTGTTGGTTGTTGCGGGTGATGAGACCAACAAGTTAAGCCTTGATCAAAAGCGTTGTCATTTGGGTGGGTGTGGCAGAGACGGTTCTATGGAGTTTCAATCGGGGTATGCCATCAGCTCTCCTACAGCTAGGCAATTTTACTCTTTAAGTTCTAGCTTTTATGTGCAGGCCCTCAGGTTTCAGTCGGCAGTGTTAATGGTCAGATGTAATCATCGGATTTTAGCTCCGGGTCTTGAAATGCAAGTAAGCTCCAACTTATTTTATATGTCCACCCGATTATAATAAACTATCAGCTGTCAGATTCATTATATTTTGGGTAAGAATTATATCTTGAACACCATATTGCATTAACAAATGTTGTAAGTAATATCATAGATCTAGGACAGGGATTGGTAATGAAATTCTGCTACTCTTCCTTGGAATGTAGAAAGGATGTATATGTACTTGAGCTCTGTACATATGAAGCAATAAGTATTAATGGTTTATAGTGTATTGGAAACAGTGTTTAAAGTACTAAGTTCTGTCCTTTATTTGGGTAAGGTTTCTGCTGCGGCAAGAAATTTGATGGCTTACTATTACCCTTCCTTGTGGCAGATATACTGCATTGATAAACACTTACTGTTGAGGACAAACTCAGTGTTCTCACCTATCCCTTTCCTCAGTTTGGAGGACAAGGAATAGGTTGGGGTCAATATTGGGAATGGTCCAAAAGTAGTAGGTCCAAGGTGGTTTGCTTATAATCATTGTTAATTCAGAATATTCTATTATTATTTTTTACCAGGTTAGGCATCTGGGCAAAGTAATCAAAAGTTCTGCCTAGACGTTTTTATTGTACTTGTTTTATTTTTGGAAAATTTGATTCTTAATGGAGTTAGAATGCCATGATTGCTTTGCCTTGCTACATTAAAATGTATAGGTGCTTAGTCAATTACATTTCTGAATTTCACATTAATGTATAAAAATAACTTCATTCTTGTAAGATGGATGATAGTGCAAGTCTTTCATACAGGGTGCTTAACATTTATTCATGGTAATATGCTGGCAATACCAATGGCTGAGGCTAGAAGTCATTTCCTTATTTGGTGTCTATTGAAACAAACGAAGCCTTTGTGTTTAATTGATTGAATGAAGTCAAAATTTAACAAGGAAAAAGAAGTGAAATTTATGGTTGACAGTTATAAGGTGGAAAAGTAGATGTATACATGGATTTTCATGCCTTGGCGGAAAAACCACTATATCGTTGCCTTTTTAGATGTTATGTTTTTCTCGTTATTATGGTTGAATGCAGGTTTTTGTTAAGGAAATTGATTCTTGGATACATAATAGTGCAGCCACTCAAACCTATGACTGGGCTCTTCTTATGTGCAGCTTTACAAGATCTATCGTGGAATGATAACAGCTGCTAGTATACATCCGTGTCTCAGTATTCATTATTTTCTTCTCTCCCTTTCCAAATGATCCAAGTTTGTGCAATCTTGTTCGGATTACTGTGTTTTATTTGGCAAATCATCCAAGACATGTGCTTCAGTCATTACCATCTGTTGTTGTTGGAGATATAACAAAGTTTTTATTTTTTATTTTTTTATCCTTATTGTAATTTTTATTGACTATATATATGGAGCTCTATACTTAATTTATATCCCTTTTGACTCATATTTCTCTAGTTGGTATTAGAGCCCCAACCTCTAACCTTAGCCAAGTGCCTAGCCTACTGGTGGGTCACTTTTCTGCCCACCGCCGGGTCATGTTTTTCTTTGTACCTTCGTGCTTTGCCCTCGTCGTCACAGTGCTGCCATTTTTTTTGCGCCACCTTTTTTTTTTCCAAAAGTTGCAGTATCTAGGACTTTTTTAGGGGGGATTGGATTTTCTTCTCCGTTGATCTGCTCTTGATACAGTAAATCATTTATTTATATTTATTGGATTTCTGGGCACCATAACTTGATTATTTGAGAGTTTTTTGGACTTTTTTTATTTGTCGCTATTGTTCGACTGAAAGTATATTATTCTCTCTTATTTTATCTATCTATTTATCTTAGAGTTGTTTTTATGTCACGAGTGCTCTAGTATTATTGATGATATGATTACTACTGAGGGAATTAAGATCCCTAACGTTGAGACATCTGTTAGTACTTCCACCAGGTATAGGGGTCGACAGTGCTCGGCCCAATGTTGTCAGGGTACCCCACATCAGCGTAGATATGAGGATTCTCATCAGTGTGATTATTGTAGTCGACTAGGACATCTCAGGGTTACTTGTTGAAAACTCCATTCGGAACTTAAGTCGTCTTTTTGCATTCGTACTATTATTATTGCTAAGGTACCACCACCTACAGTCATTGCTCCTGCTACTACTCCTCCTTAACAGAATGATATGGATGCTATCACTTCTTGCTTGGATCTACTTATGTCAGCCTTGACTTCTCGAGGTTTTACTACTACTGCTGCGACTACTACAGGTATACCTTGTGCCTTTCATACTTGTGCTAGTCCGTCTCCCCTTTGGATGCTGGACTCGGGTGCTAATGGTCATATAACAGGTGAGGCCCATCATTTCACCTCTTACGAACAATTACATACTCAAGTTCAGTTAGCAGATGGTACACATGCCTCTATTGTTAGTAGGGGTACAGTCCAACTTCCAAATGACTTTATATTACGTTCTGTGTTTCATATGCCAAAGCTGACCATGAATCTATTATCTGTATATCAGTTAATCAGAGATTTTTACTGTGCGGTTGTGTTCTTATTTGATTCGTGTTATTTGCAGGATCTGAGTACCAGGAGAATTATTATTAGGGGACATAAGAGAGATGAACTGTATTATTTAGGCGATCTATCTCCGGTTTCACCAGTTTCTCCACCTCCACCTCCATTATCTACTTTGTCTTTATCTGTTTTTAGCTTGTATGCTAGTATTTTACCTAATACTTGTTGTTATGATTTTTCATCACAAACTGTTCAGTTGTGACATGACCGTTTTGGATATACAAATTTTAAATATTTATGTATGTTATTTCCTGCTTTGAGCAAAACTTGTGTTAGTGGTAAACCAACTATGTTATATGTTCCCTATCAAAATATGTTCGGACCAGTTATATTTCTTGCATGCACCAGTCACCCAAACCATTTGACCTAATACACTCTAACATTTGGGGACCTTCTCGTGTTACTACTTTGTCAGGTGCCCGATACTATGTGACATTTATAGATGACCATATCCATTGTACTTAGATCTACCTTTTGCATAGGAAGTCCGATGTACTCCCTATAATTACTTAGTTTTTACAGATGATTAAGATACAATTCGATGTTGTTGTCCGTGCTCTTTGTTCGGATAATGCCAAAGAATATGTGTTTAATGTTGTAGTGTCTCACCTTTCTTCTCAGGATATTCTTCAGCAACTCACTTGTCCACATACTCCTGAGCAAAATGACGTTGCTGAAAGGAAAAATAAGAGTTTGATGGAGATGGTACGTTGTATGCTTAGAGGCATGGGGGTGCCAAAATCTTATTGAAATTTTGCTATTTTGACTTCTAATTTTTTGTGCAATCGTACGTTGAGTCGTGTTCTTCAGCATAGGGCTCCTTTACAGGTCTTATTTCTTGGGCGAACACTTTTTTTGGTCCCTCCTCGTGTTTTTGGATGCACATATTTTGTTCATGATCGATCTACTACACGTCATAAGTTTAGTGATAAAGCAATTCGTGTCTTTGTGGGCTATTGTCATTAGTCTAAGGGGGTATCGGTGTTATGATCCTATTAGGCGCCGTATAAATCATAGTTTAGATGTTACCTTTCTTGAGCATATTTCTTATTTTTCTTCCAATCCAATGTTTGTCCCTCCAGTTGATGATACTTCCTTTGATTTTTCATTACCCCCGGAGCCAGAGCCATTGGTTACTATCACTACAGAGTTATCGGTCTCTCCTACTCCAGAGCCACTCATCCTTGTCAGTACAGAGTCATCAATCTTTCTTTCTTTACAGGTTTATGTTCGTCGCCCTCACTTTCATTCCCTTGCTGACGTCCCTTTTACCTCAGGTAATACTTCTCAGTTCGTTAAGCATATTGATGCACCTGTTGTTAGTATTGATGAAATTGTAGGTATTGAGTCAATTGTTTTACCTGATGAGATATTGTTAGTGCAGGATGATGATTTAGGGTGTCGTTATCCACGACGTAATCGTCGTCCAATTGTTCGTTATGGTTGGACCGCCAGGATTTTATACCAGATCTCTACTTATATTTTTTATGATGATTTGTCTCCTACATTTTGAGCTTATAGTATAGCTTTATCAGATATATCAATTTCTCGTTTTGTTTCAAAGGCTATGCAGGAGCCCCAGTGGGTTCTTGCCATGCAGACAGAGATGGATGTTCTTCAGCATAATCATACGTGGGATTTTGTCTCTTTACCTTCAAGGGTGAAGCCTATTGGCTGTTGCTGAGTTTACACCTTGAAGTTTCTTGCGGATGGTACTATTGATCGCCACAAGGTTAGGTTTGTGACAAAGGACTTTACTCAGGTACCAGGTCGTGATTTTAGTGTTATCTTTGTCCTCGTGGTAACATTTACTACTGTTCGACTCATTATTTCTCTAGATGCGGAGTACTTTTGGCCTCTTCGTCAGTTGAATGTGAAGAATGCATTTTTTCACGGTGATCTGGATGAGATTATTTATATGGATATACCACCGGACTTTCTTGGTGAGGGGGAGTATACTGGAAAGGTATGTCAACTGTGTAAGTCTCTTTATGGACTGAAACAGTCACCACGAGCCTGGTTCTCTCGCTTTACTGATGTAGTTGTATGTTTGGGGTTCACCAGATGTCATTCTGATCATACATGCTTCATTCGACGAAATACTTTTGGACAATATGTCATCCTTTTGGTATATGTTGATGATATTATTATTACTAGAGATGATGTTTCTGGGACTGCGCAAGTCAAGGTAGACCTTGGGAAGACCTTGGATTTTTGTGATACTTTATTAGGATTGAGGTTGCCCGTAGCAGCAGAGGTATTGTTCTTTCTCAGAGAAAGTATATTCTAGATCTTCTTTCAGACACTGGAATGTTGGGGTACAAACCAACATCATCATCCATGATTCTGAACCTGAAATTTACTACTGAAGGTGAGGAGTTGAGAGATTCGACTGTTTATTAGAGGTTGGTAGGTAGACTTATCTACCTAGTTAACACTAAGCCAGACATTTCATTCATTGTCAGTCGAGTTAGTCAGTTCATGCACAGATTATGTCAGCCTCATCTTGATGCAGTTTATCATATTCTTTAGTAACTCAAGTCTTGTCCTGGACTTGGGTTGTTTTATGCATCAAAATCTCAGACTGGTTCTCTAGCCTGTTATTCAGATTCAGATTATGGGAGAGCATATGACGGTCGATCTATTACAGGCTTCTGTGTTTTTCGAGGGACTCATCTTATCTTTTGGAAGAGCAAGAAGCAGTCAATTGTCTCTCGCTCGTCAGTAGAGACAGAGTATCGGGCATTGGTATTAGCGCTTGGCACATGTGAGATTATCTGGTTACGATTGATTCTTGGCGAGTTAGGATTTCTAGTGACTTCTTCATCTACATTATATTGTGATAATCAATTTGCTATTCAACTTTCTTCTAACTCTGTGTTACACGAGAAGACGAAATATATAGAGATCGATGTTCACTTTTTTCACGAGAAGGTTAACAGTGGTATTGTCACTCCATCGTTTGTGGGGACCAATGATCAAGTTGCGAATGTTTTTACCAAACCTTTCACTCTATCCATTCTTCGGGACTCTGTTGTCAACTTGGCTTAGTTGACATTTTTGCACCTAACTTGAGAGAGAGTGTTGGAGATATAACAACAACCTAGTTTATTAGGGTTTATTAAGTTTTTCTTTTTTACCTTTTTATCTTTATTGTAATTTTCATTGACTATATATACGGGGCCTCTACACTTAGTTTGTATCCCTTTTGACTCACATATTTTTCTAGTCTATCAGTGGATTGCTAATATCCATCCAAAGGGACTTGCCACTTTTTATCCCCCTTTGGTGGCAGTGCCGGCTTTCAAACTCTTGTTTCTCATGGCAAAGGTCTATGCTCGTATCCAATTGTATCTCTACCACGACGGTCTACTCATCTTTCATCCTAAACCAGCAATCTTCTTCACCTCGGCACCTTTTTACCCTTTATGTGGTAAAGAGGATAAAGAATAATGCCTCAGGATTGCTTATTCAGTTAGCAACACTGCTACTTCCGCAAAAGGAAAGGTTAACCTGCCATTTTGTGCTGGTGCAACTGATTTTTGACAGTTTCATATCTCGTGGTTTGCAGGATGTTCACTCTGGGGTTAATTCCTTGGAGCGTCTGTTAGTTTATACTCCATCAGTCTATCTGATTAAACTAGAGCTTCTGCCATCAATTAAGGTGGAGCTAAATGAGAGTGATCCAATAACTCGGTCTGGCTCATATTTACATTCGCAAGATAAGGAGTAAGGGTGAAAGTTGAACGTGTTCAATGATGGGATGTGTGTAGAAGATCGGATTGTCCAGAGAAAGAAGAAGGAATGTTTTTCAAAGATTGCTTTTGATGCTCAAGAAGCTGGAGAGAACAAAGGTTACTGGAGATAAATCTGACAGTAAAGCTCCCTAAGAGATCCCACTTGTATCTATCAAATACTGAGCTGAAGATAAGTTCTAGAAGGTTACCAATTATGGCAAAAATCCAAGGTAAAATCTGTTAGATTAATGATTCCTTTTTTTTTTTTTTGGGAGGGGGAAGGGGCTTGAACCCTTGACCTCAAGAAGTCAAATCCTTCACAAGTTAAGGAATACCATTAGACTAAAAGGCCATCGGTATATAGATTAATGATTCCCTTGATTCTAGTATTCTATTTTGGTTGTGATTAATCTTCATCATTGCTCTAGATTCATTTTGATATATCCCTCAAACAGTGGATAGGTACAATGGTGGAGAATTTGAAATCTACAACGTCCCATCTTATATAATGGAAATAAAAAGGAAGGATTTATTGTTAGTGTATGATCATTTCCACAACATTAAATTTGGTTGCATTCACAAGGGTTGATCACATTCACCTCTTTTTAGGTTCTGGTAACTCCCCATCTGTAATCAATTCTATTGATTCTTGTGTTGGATGTATATGTTCATATCTTCCTGAAAACTTCTAATAAGTTTAATTTTTCTGTTTTTGAAGTGTTTGTTTTCATACGGTGATAGACTTCCAAGAGGAGTACACTGACTTGAGCTTGAGTAGTAGTAGCAATGGTGAAAAAGGTCAAAGACAAATCTACTTTCTGTTGAGCCATCAACCAGATGATTCATGCAGGTAGTTACATCAATAGTGTAGGCTTACCATATAGTTCTATGTCTAGCATGATGAATCGAGGATGGATTTATTTTTGTGTGGTAATTGGACTAGTGGCCATAAATCTTCATTTCTTTTAGCAAAGGAGTTCCGTGATTTCCCCCTCTCATTATTACACTGGAATTGGAATGTCATTTGTAATCATAAGACCTTCATTGCATAATTTTTTTTCCCTTTTCATTTGGTGGATGTCTTATTCACAATTTTGTACTTTTTTTCATGTATTGAGAATCTTGTTTCTCATAACAAACAAATACATACTTTCCTTCCCAATATAAGAATTGCATTTAATTGATAAGAGGGAATGACAAATCTATTGGGTGGTATATATCACTAAATAATACTCGTGAACTTGAGAAAAAAAGAGAAAAAACCATTAACACTTGCCATAGCACTACTTTTAATTTTTACCCTTTTGTGAGTACCACAATCATCTCCCAATCCACTATTGGTTCTTGCTGTGATATTTGCAGGTATTCTACAAGCAAATAAATTAATTGAATTGCGTGTGCCCTTTGTAAATTTCGATAAATTGTTGCTTCCTAAGTTATAAACGACAGATTTTTGTCTAATGTGTTGTGTGGGGTGCATGTGTCTGGTGTTGTTTAGTCCCACCTTGAATTTTATTTTATTCTTGGTAGTTTTGTGTGGAAGGCCTTATGGTGGAAGGTTTCCTAGTGCTTCATAGTTGGAGACTAAGACGAGGTCACTGAAGAAACTTATTTGTTCTTCAAACCCAGCATTCCTTACCTCCACTGAAAGCTCAGATGAAGGTAAGAAACATGTAACCCTGATGAGTATTTGCTATGAATGCTCATCATTGATGATTTTGTTGCGTTTGAGTCTGATGAGTCAAATGTAATTCCGAAAAAGAAAATTTAAGCCTTGACCTGAACATGCTGTCATCTGAACTTTCCATTCCTAACAATATTTTAGTTGTAGTTTACTCCTTTGGTTTTAATAAGTTTTATCTTTTACCAGCGCTCACGACTGCTTGAAGGCCTCCTGGAGCTCTCACAAATCAATCCATTTGAAGGTAAAGTTGTCCACACTTGGTCAACAAAATTTAGCCTTACTGGTTGATGCTTGGTTATATTGCTCGAGTAAAGGGCAGGCTCAAACTCCAAAACTTCATTGCATTTTGATTGACAGGGTATTGCTCTTTTTTTCTTCTTGTATTTTTATGCATAGACTTTATATTCTATTTTGTTCCTTTGACATTATGTTTTGCAATTTTGATCAATACTTGCTTCACCAGAGCTTGTGCTAGAGACATGATTCAAGTTTAGGATACCGGATTGATATTTTTAACTCCCAAGGCCTATTTATATTGAGTGGTACATGGTTAAATCTACTTGGCCGTGTGTATGGATGCTAGATTTTACTAACTCCTCAATCTATGACACAGGGCATGTCCATATTGTTCGTGTATCTATTTTTTTTTGTTTCTAACATAGTATTCTATGCTTATTACTTAGCTAAGTAATAAACATTGAATACTACGATAGTTCAGAAAGGATAGTTCTTTCATTGATATAAAGGTGGATAATTTTGGCATTGGATAGATGGATATGACCTCAATTTATGTTGCTTTTCAAATTTACGTGTCTTTTGAAGGTGTAAACTACGGAGCAAATTGAGAGCATGATAGAGACTTGCCGAGTAAGTTACTCTCATTAACATTTTCCTTTTGAAATCATGTTAGCGTGAAATGCATTTGTCTTCTTGTAAGTTGTTTGCATAGTTTTCATCATTTTCTAATCTAGGATCTCTTGGATATGCACTAAAACTGTTGGAATATAGATAGTCTAGGTTTATTAGGATTTCTTTTCCCTTTTTTACCCTTACTAAGATTTTTATATTTTGCCTAAACTACAAGGATGTTTAAGTCACTCTGTATTATTTTTGGATATATATACGGGGCTCTACTCTTAATTTGAGAATCCCTTTTTCACACACATTCATTCCAAGTTGGTATCAGAGCCATACCCTAACCCTAACCTCATCATCAATCACCAAAGCACCGACAGCCACCAGCCCCTCCTCCACGTTGCAGCCCAGTGCCGATATCAATCCGCCACTACCCAGCAACAAAACCCCAAACCAATACCCATCGACACCATTAAAACCATCAATCAATAAAACCAGCAACACCGACTGCAACCCCAGCAGCACCGAAACACATCAAACCAGTGAACAACATTCTGCCCATAACACATACACTGTCCAGCATACTAAAACCGACTCCATACCAGCGAACCAAAACCAGCGAAATAGAAAAACGCTGAACCAAAACCAGCGAAACTCCACCGACTCCATATAAACGCCACCGACAACCTGCTGCCCAGCGAAAACACAAGCCCCAAAGCCTTCCACCGACTGCCCATCATACCTATCCTTATCCTCATAACAGCCTTCCAGCCCCTAGCCGCAACACCAAAACACTCCAACAAACACATATACCACACCAATACACACAACGCCCAGCCTACTGTTGGGTCGTGTTTCTTGTTTTAGCTTTATCCTTTGCACTCTTTGTCACAGTGCTACCAGATTACAGTATCTAGGATTCCCTTTTTTTTTATGAGGGGTTAAATCCTCTTCTTTGTCCGTTGATCTGCTCTTGATGCAGTAAGATCATTTATATTTATTGGATTTCTGGGCACCGTGACTTGATTATTTGGGAGTTTTCTGGACCTTCTTTATTTGTCGCTACTGTTCGACTGGAGGTATATTGTTCTCCCTTATTTTATTCCTCTATTTATCTTAGAGTTATTTTTCTGTCACGGGTGCCCTAGTATTGTTGTTGATATGGCTACTACTGAGGGACTTGAGAACCCTACTGTTGACACCTCTACCGTTGAGACATCTATGGGTACTTCCACTTTTATGTTTGACCAGTATACAGTGCCTACTAGCACAGTTGCATTACCAGCATTACCGGGCATGATCTCTCAAAAAGTTACGGCACAATTGTTGAATGGTCGTAACTTCGCTGAGTGGTCACGCTCATTCCAGCTTTTCTTAGGCCGTGTAGGGAAGCTTGGTTGGCTGACGGGATCTCACCCAAAGCCAGCTGATGCCGACCCTGGATATTCTGCGTGGTTCTCTGAAAACTGTGCCATTCTTGGATGGTTATTTGGCTCAATGGAGCCCTCTGTTTGCAGGATCCACCAGTTTCATAGCTCTGTTCCGAAGCTATGGAGCGCATTATCAGAGATGTATTCTCAGTCAGGACGGGGAGTTCGTGTTTATGAGCTTTCTCAGGAGCTCTCATATGCTCGGCAGGGAGATATGACCGTTCAGGATTATTATGGCTATTTGACCCAGCGCTGGCTTGAGTATGAGACTCTACGTCCTCTTGCTGCTATTCCGAAGATAGAGCCCGAGGGAGCAGCATTCTTGCATACTCGAGAGCAGGAGGATAGGATTCACAAGTTCCTTATGGGGCTTCGTGATGAGTTTGAGGGACCTCGTTCTCAGATCTTGTCGATGTTGACACTTCCTTCTCTTTATGAGGTGTATGGGATGATTGAGCAGCATGAGCGTCGAGTCCGTATTGCATCACTTCCAGTTGCAGCTTTGACTCCTTCGATTGACCAGATGGCCCTTGCAGCTGCTGTAGGGTCCCGTTCAGGATCCTTAGTCAGGGATGGGCAACGCTCAGACCAGCGCCGTCAGGGCGCCCCAGATCAGCGCAGACGGGGGGATTCCCGTCAATGTGATTATTGTGGCCGACCAGGACATCTCAGGGCTACTTGCTGGAAGCTCCATCCAGAGCTTAAGCCACCTTCTCGCAGCCGTACTGTTGCTATTGCTGAGGTACCACCGCCCACTACCGCCACTCCTGCTACTGCTCCTCCTTGGCAAAGTGATATGGATGCTATCACTTCCCGATTAGATATACTTATGTCTGCTCTGACTTCTCAGAGTCTGACTACTGCTGCTGTCACCACTACAGGTATATCTCGTGCCTTTCACGCTTGTGCCAGTTCATCTCCCCTTTGGATGTTGGACTCGGGTGCGAATGGTCACATGACAGGTGAGGCCCATCACTTCACCACTTTTGACGAGCCGTTACATACACAGGTTCAGTTAGCAGATGGAACACATGCCCCTATTGTTAGTAGGGGTACAGTCCGTCTCCCAGATGGCCTTACATTACATTCGGTTTTTCATGCGCCAAAGTTGGCCATGAATCTATTATCTGTACATCAGTTAGCCAGAGATTTTCACTGTGCGGTTGTATTCTTATCTGATTCGTGTT